AAGTAATAAAAGTAAAAACAAAAATGCTAAGTAATTAGTGGTATTATTTAATTAGAGAGATTGTTAAATCAGGACAACCGTAATAGTTGCATTTTAAAAAAAAAAAAATTTTAAAATCACTAACTGGTGTTTTAAAATATTTTGAAAAAAATCAGGGAATTATCGAATTCAAGCAAAATTTTCAGTACATATTAATGAATGAATGAATGGTACACTGGATAGGTTATGTTATTAGAAAACTTTGTGGAAATAGCTTTGGTGGGTCTGTTTCATCCTCCCTTTTTGATATCATGTGTGTATGTGAAATTCTTTTACATTTATATAAAAGAAAAATCCCTGAAGATATCATTTCAATAAAAAATTTATGCAATATCAAATGAAAATTCATTCCAAATAGTACCAAAGATAATTCAATTAAACCTTTGAGAAGTGGTACTTGCATAATTTAGTAAAACATTATTTTCTTTCAAAATGGATGGAAAAAAAAATCTACACTTAATATTTTACCAAAAAAATTACTTTTCAATTTTTCAGTGTGATTTTGAAAGTCATTCCACTGGAGTTTCTTTTATTAAATAAAGATATGTTTGAAAAATTAAAAAATATAAAATTTAATGCTATTTTTGAGTGCAAACCTTTTTTTAAAAAGAATTTTATTTTTTCCTTTTAGCAACTGTTAGACTACCTTTTTGTATGGATGTACAAAAGAGAAATAATTCTGATTTCTCACCTTTGACCATTCTACTAAATTTCATAAAATAAAAAAATATTCTTAAACTATTGATTATATAGGATAATAATAATTTTATAGAAAAATAAAGGCATCATTTGGATGCCCGTGAATTGTTAAGAAAGAACTCAAAGTGAATGCAATTAATATTACCAATTCAATAACTCTACCAATTTTGCCCTTTCTTTTTTTTTCTTTTTTTTTGTTAATAGCAAATCCATTATTTTAATACATTTTGTTAAATTTAGAACTATTTTTTTTATAAATAACATTGGGTGCAATTATATATTTTATGATATAAAATAAAAAAATAAAAAAATCAAAGCAATAAATTAAAGTATAATTTTACTAAAAAAAAAAAAAAACAACAACAATTTCTAATATATAAGAAGTAAAATTATTAATTCTAGCAAGTTTAATAAAAGCATATTGAATAAAAATTATATTCTTAAACAACTGGTTAAAGATAATTTATCTTTTAAACATAAATACTAATTTCTTGATTATTGCACTGCTGGTGTTCTGTATTTCTTTAATTTTTATTATTGGGAACTTTTTAAGCCAGAGGTGTAATTTTACAGTTTTTGTTTTTAATCTCCGACACCACAGGCTAAATTGTGAAAATAAACATTATTTTAATAATTTTTTAATTACAAAGTAAGTATTACTTTTACAAAATCAAGATAATTAATCTTTAAATTAATTTCAAACATTTCTCTAGGAAAAATATTGAATTTTTAAGAGGTTTTTAAATTTACTCTTTACATTTTTATCTATAATTACGAGTTGAATGAACAGGCAAGAAATACCTAAAATCTTTAATTACATTTGGAAATTCATTTTTTCCTTTAATACTGATTAGCTTTAGGGTATTTTCTTTCAAATAAAACCAAATTTAACTTAAAGGCATTTATTTAAGTTATTTCAAATACACTTAAAAAAAAAAAAAAAAAAATCAACAGCATTACCAAGTGTTAAGATAATGAATCTTTGTTTTTGAAATTAAAAAAACATTAATAAATCCCAAAGTAAATATTAAATACAAGTTCGAGAATTTAAATAATTTTTTTTGTAAAACAGGACCCTCAGTTACAGAAAATCTGCTGTGAGTTGTAAAATAAAAAATTCAATAAAACTAAGGCATTTAATTAGAATAGCTTTTAATTGCTCTTACAAATAAAAAAAATTTGATGAATAAAGAATTTTCATTTTTTAAATTTTATTTAGAATAATTGATAAACATTTAAATCTTAAAATTTTGTATTCATTTGTATCAGTCAAGTGATATTATTAAATAAAAACTGTATTTACTAATCATAAATGGGAAAGCTTCCAACAATTCAGTGTCTCTAGTATTTAAAATTTTTTTTACTTGTATAAATGTAATTTTTGTAAATAGGGACATCCATACATGACATAATCAGAAAATAAGAGTGGTAACTATATTAAATTTAAAATTTATTGGCAATGTTATATTTTCTAAACAAGCGTCTTCATAAGTAAGACTATATAAAACCAAAGTACCTAAAATTTAATAATATTAGAATGCTTAAATAAAATATTTTAAAATTTGAAAGATTACTGGGTAATTTAAAAAAAAAAAAAAAATTTTCATGTAATTTTATAACAAATCATCCTTAGATAAATTTCCCAAACGTTATGTTGTTGATAAATGTGTTAACACCTCATAAAAACACCAAAGTTAGAGTTAAAAAATGCTTTTTTATAGAAATTATCTCACTTGTTGGCTATTGTGGCAGATGTCAGGACTTCTTCATTTTGCTCAATTTCCCCTAACCCAAAGCAATTGAAGTAATCAGCAAGGTACAACCAAAAGTCTTTCAAATAACAAAAATACTGATGGAGCCCTATTCGGTCTCTTTTCCAGTTTTCCTTTTCAGCAGTTGCAACCTTCAAGGCCCAGCTTGAAGGGCTCCTCTCAACCTTTGTTGCAGAAGGCAAGTGGCCTGTCCTGGCAGTTTGACACTAAGATTTCTCATTCCTCATGGGAACAAGCATGGAAATCTCTCTCTACAAAATATCTAATCAAGGGAAGAACTTTGTTAACTGGGAAACCCAACTCTTTTTCACCACAAAAATTTTTGCACTCTCTTTCAACCACAAATAAAAGCTGTTAAACAGTTATTTCAAGTCTTGGGTTTTGTTCATTACACTCTCACAGCTAAGTACAAAGATACACATACACAACCAGGAAAATTCCTACATTTCTGCAATATTTTTTTAGACTAAAAGTAATATTTCTTTTAATTCAGATTAATCAAACGTTTTTAAAATCAGCTAATTTTCTTTAAATAACATTTCAGAAAAGTATACTTTTTTAATAAAAAGAATTATGTTGTGTTGACAGATTTGTCAATATGAACGATTTTAGCGATTTTACTGATAATAACAAAAATAATTCCAATCAATGTAAATTCAAAAATACAGTAAAGTATTTTGCTTATTGGAGATATCTAATTTAATCTATTAGCTTGTTGTGGGTCGGTGGATACATTGAGAGATGCGTGTCTTCTGAAATGCCCAAAACAAACATGGTAGACTCAGGATGTAAGTCTATGTATTGTAAATAAATGGAAGAAGAAAGGACAAGAACAAGTATATATGTACAAACAAATGATGATGCATGTATTAACAAAACAAGGATATACATGAATAATAGAATATTGTTACATGTCACTGAACAATGAACATGAATGAAGAAAATATTTAAACTAGTGAATTGTTTGTGCGCGTGTGTACTGTGTAGTTTTGTGTAGGAGGAAGTCCTAGAGAAAATGTAGTGAAATGCGTGTGCATATGCGTTCTCCAAGTTGGAAAGCATTTTCCTCGTTCAATCTACATCTTGCTGTCCCCGAACGAAAAAGGAAAAAAAAGAGGATGACAGAGAATATCACAGCCTATTTATAGTCCTCAAAGCGTTCCCTAGTTGTGGTTTCAAAAATTAGGACTAGGTGGAGGTAGCTCGACATTTTTTTTTTTTTTTTTTTTTTTTTTACTCCAAGCAAAGCGATAATGCCACTAAGGCACAAGTGGTTAACTGGGAGTGAAAAGAGAATTAGAAGACTTTAAGGAACCGGACATCTAATTCTAAACAGGAAACAACGGATAAAAATATACGAAACCTCTCTATTTCTGTTCAAAAGACGACTAAGGAGTGTGAACTTGCTGGACTAAAAGCTTCAAGAAATATTTTCATTTTAAACCTTATGTATCACTTTTTCCTTTTCTTTTGTTTTGGAGGTACCTACTTAAAAAAAAAAAAAAAAAAATATCCTGCTTGTCTTCAGTACAGTTTCTGTTTTTGATTATCTTCCAGTACCAGTTTTTTAGCGTATGAAACGATTTTCGCATATGAAATGCTGAATTATCTTTCATATTATGAACACACATCAATCAAGGCCGCATTATTTTAATTAAAATTATTGCTACTCACTAGATATTGAGAAATAGAAACACAATATGTTCCATTTGGAAAATCAACAGGAGAATAAATACAACGAGCATCGTCGATTTTGACGGTAGAAATAATTTTCTCATTATATACTGATTTACCTCCCTTAGATTTCATTACTTTTTTTATTATTATTAATTTCTATTGTTTTCTATAAATAAAAACTGAAATATAATTTAATATTTGTAATTAATAAGACATTTGTAAAATAAAAAGAACGGGCTTAGACTGTACAGATTTGATAAAAGTTTTGTATCAGAAACAAAACGAAAAGCAGCATCCAAAATGTAATAATTTATCGTACAAGAAAAAGTAGTTATAACTTTTAAAAATGTCATTCTTTAAACTTTTGGAGGTGGGAATATTTTCTCTCCACATACATTTTTTAGTACTACTTTAGTTTCATACCCTCAAGATTTTAGATTGGACGATTAAAATGTGATTAGAACATGAGGCGAGTTGAAGGAATCAATGGAGAAAATTTAAGTATTTGTTTTTTTTTTTGTTTTGGATAAAACTAGTTTTCGGACGTAAACTGAAAGTTATTTCAAACCTCTATGCAAGTTTCTTTAGATAAGTAAGTACCTCCCAACTATTGGTTCCTTCCCAGTTGAATAGTGTTACGACCCCTAAAAAAAACTATTAATTATTTTGGTGTGCATTTAGCATACTAAAAAAAAACACTTTAAATGACTTCAACAAAAATTGTTATCACTAAGAACAGATATATTTATTTGTACCGAATTGACTGAAATAAAACAAAGATATATTTGATATTACTTAGTCAAAATGTCTTACCTTATTATTAGTTTGCAAAAGTCCTCCAACAACAGACCGAAAAGATCCATAACATCTCATAAACGATGCCATTTTAAAGGTCACAAAACGTAGTTGACGACCAGGCTTTTGTTTACAGGGGAGATAACTCTACGGTATGTAAGATTATGATAAAACTGTCCCGTACTTAAAAATATCCGTCTATAAATTTATTCCTCCAATCATAGTAATTGTCATTAATTTTGTGATATTTAATGATTTAAAAGTTAATATCCTAATATTTTTCCATGAAGTTTAGGCTGGTCATCTTTCCTGTTAATAACCACGAAAGAAAGATGGAAAATAGACCAATTCAAATTGTGTAAGAAAAAATAATGAAGAAAACAGAAAGAAAATTAAAAATACCAATCCTTAAAAAAAGAATCAGATTGTGACTTTTCTGATACATTTTATTTATTTATTTTTTATGTTTTCTGTTTGGGTTCAAATAAACCTGCAGTGACTGATTTACATATGAAGTCACAAAGACTATAAATAGCTATAGCTATTACCCTTGAGGTAGTTGAGTGCATATTACTTCCCGTGAGTCAGTAACACTACACTACATCACTTATTTTTTTTACAATATATTTCATATATGACATATAAACTAGAGTTTCATTGCATTGGATGTTTGTTGCTCTGAAAGTAATGACTCCTACTTTTTGTTAGTCCACAATATTATTATTATTCTTGGACCAATGAAAACCTTGTCTTCACAGAAATGAGCCTTTGAGGCAAGAAAAATAAAGAAAAGAAAGTAGCAAGCCTGTGCAAAATTCCTTTTGATATAAATTGAGGAGAAAAATTAAATTAATAAGAGAAAAGTGTCTGAAGTCATGTAAAATATTTCATTTCAGTTCCTTGTGACCAGCAACCAGCATTCAAGTTCTTGCCAGTGTAAAATTGTTTATGATAATTATATTATCAGCTTCTAACCAAGCACACAGCACTTCAAAGAATTTTCTCTCAACAATCTAAGAAAGCTAAATATCTCAATCTATCTTTCTTTGTTTACTTTTGAAAGTATACAAACCATATAGCCCTTCTGTGAACAACAAACTCTCTTACCTTTGTTTTAAACATCTTTTAATATTATATTGTATGAACATCCCCTCTTCATGACAATATGTCAAAATTATAAAATTTAAGAATTATGATTTATTTTTCTGAAACAAGCTACTGACACAACATCAAACATGTAAATTCGTAAATAAATTCCTTATCTTGTTTTGAACCGAAATGTTAAAATTACCTGCGTGTTTCCTTGATATTACCATCCTTAATTAATCTTTATGATGTGGGTAAATCAACTGTTCATTTTAACTCCAAAGCACTATACCACTATAGTGTTAATTGTTAGTGGTAAGGTAGTAGACGAACATTCCTGCTAATAACCTATAATATTTTGTCTTGTTATATATAGTAACTGACATTCTGGCAAAATGGTGTTTGACATAAAACTAATAAAACAAAATCATTGAATTATTTTTGTGAAAAAATTCCAACCATAGGCATTCATCAATATTTGCTGAACATTTACGGAGAGCAAACAGTAGATGTGAGCACAGTTAGGTGATGAGTAATGTGTTTCAGCAGCGACAAATGCATGAACCACTACCATATTAGGTTTAAGGCTTCAAAATTACACTAGTGGATTAAAACATTTGGCAGTTGTGAGTTCAATCCCTGGGACTGGTAGCTTTGAAAGTTTACATAATTCAGTTCAGTGGGGAAAAAAACAAAACCAAACACAAGTTGAATAAAAGGTTTGGTTTTAAATTCTGGCAAGATTACCTTGTACAACAACAGACACCTGAAGAAGTTGAAGAGTACAACAGCTGAAATGGACATGTGAAAGGACATCTACAGGATTTAACATATGTACATAATTTTATTGTTTCAAACGTTATTTTTAGCAGATACCCATATTTAAGTAGATACTCTATTTATTTTAAACAGTATTTATTTTGCCTACCAGTCTCCGTACTCAAGAAAATTTGATAAAGAAGATGTGTCCTCCATTTTCTTTATCATGTTTTCTCAAGTACATCATTTATAGATTTTCACTTTGTCTCATCATCTGTACTAATATTAAAATGGAATTAAAAATTAAAATATTATAGGAATATCAAAATTATTATGCATTCTAGAGCAATGCATATAGGTGTTATACTTCATTGCAAATTAGATCTCTTTCTGATTCATTCTACATGTCAACCGGATTTGAATGCTAAGAAGGCAAATCCAAAGAAAAAAACAAGTCATCCTCTGTACAGTGGCTCCAATCATCCCATCCAGTCCACAAAACAAATCTGAAAAATCCAAAATACAACATAAAAGAATCCAATCACAAAGGTTGCTGCTGAAGAAAACAAATGAGCTCAGGAGCCATCAAATTTGCTTCTAAGAAAGCCGCTTATAAACAACTGGAACAGAAGCAAGAAGAACTGGTCAACTGTTGACACCCAGCAGGCTCTTGACATAACCACCATGACTTCAGTAATCTGGCCTGACACACATATTCACTCAAGACCATCCTCTTCCAGATACCTACACCATGCCCACGTAGACATTCTGCTCACATCTTCTGCATTGGCAAACTTAAATTTCATGGTGAACAATAAGCAAGCTTTACTAATTCACTCCAGGCCTCTCTCGATGTCACCACCATGACCTCAGTCAACTAACCTGACAAGCACATCAACTCCAGGTCTTACCAACTCTATACTTCCTTCAACACCATCTCACTCACCTAAATTTAGAGACACACATTTGTTGTATTGGCAAAAATTGGAATGATACATGTTTTGGTAGCACACTCGTTCATGCATTGGGTATCTTATTTAATTTTATAACAAATGAATATATGTATAAATATTGAGTTGATATTAGCAAAATCTAATCTCAAAATGACAAAATTAAAGTAAAAAAATATTGCCAGCATTCATATCATTAATGTGAATCCTGTTCTTTCTCATAAATGTAGATTTAGTTGAAATAAAATCAATTTTTCTGATGATGCTGTTTGATCAGTGTGTGTGTGTGTGTGTGTGTGTGTGTGCTATAAGCCAAATAAATGTCTTGTGAGATGTAGCAAGCATTTGGATATGGTTTATCAACTGTTTGCAGTTTATTAAAAGCCAGAAAATTTTTTCTAGATTGTAAGGATTTTTAGGAGATAATAATGATTTACTGATAAAAGTCCTACTAATTAACCCATAAATGGAGGAGAAGAGGTGAATTCATACCTTTCCCATGAGTATTTGTGCATAAGTGAACATAACAAACCTGATTTGAATTGGAACTGGGCTCTCTGATTTCCAATATCAAGCCATTATCCATTACATTACTCACACATCCAAGCTTACAGCACCTGGTGTTCCAAAATGGTCAGCCATCTACGTAAAGCCCAGGCTCAATGTTGTTTAATTTTGGTGATCATACGAGAACCAGTGTTGCAATGTGATATGATCATAAGCATACATGTCTATCTATCTATCTATCTATCTATATATATATATATATATATATATATATATATATAGAGAGAGAGAGAGAGAGATAGAAAGATAGATAGATAATGAGAAACTGGAAAATTTCTTGTGACATGTTTCATCTGTTAGGATTTCATTGGACTAGGCTTTGTTTATTTTTCATTGAGAAGAGACACAAACATGTTAAAAAATTCCAATTTCTTATCATTTTTCTCATGCTTCTATTTAATCAAATGGTCCAACAATAATAATAATAATAATAATTATTATTATTATTATTATGTTTTTTAACATTTCTTTCATATAGGATGATCTAGACATCATGTTATACCGAGTTGACAGCAGCCTAAAACTTAGTGTCCACCGAAAATCAACTAATAAAAATTTCCTAATAAAATTTTTCTTCCCATCATAACAACAAAATACAATCTGGAATGATCATTGGATTCTAGTTAAGAACACTCAGATTTTGCAGCTCTCAATATTTACATGAAGAGAAGAAATATCAAGAATTTCAAGACCTTCAATACCTATTTCATATTCAAAGCTAAACAAAAGGCACAAAAAATATACCAAAATCAAAAAACTGTCCTTCCTGACAAACCCAATGAATCAAAAAATATATTATTCTTCCCACTAACTCTATCACAACTACAACTGAAAAAAATTTATCTAAACTCAACATAAAATTTGAAACAACTACATCTAAAACAATCTCTCTCTTTCTCTCTCTCTCTCTCTCTCTCTCTCTCTCTCTCTCTATATATATATATATATATATATATATATATATATATATATATATATGCATATATATTTTAAATATATATATATATATGTATATGTGTTTGTGTGTGCATAAATGTATGAATTTAAGTATATGCATACATATTCAAACAATGACAAATAAAATTTAATTATAAGCGCAACCTCCTATAATTAAAACCCTAATACTTAAGATACCACTAAATCAAATAAGAAAAATTAAATAATGGGCAAGTGAAGACATATATAAATATTTATCTGTCATTTAAGCATTAATAATAAAAAATAAGTTAAATAAAAATAAAATACACCTATATTTTCCAAACTTTAGAAAGCCATTTAACACTAAAAAATTACTATGAGCAGAGACTGTCTGCTAAACGAAATACCATTTTGTTCCATTTGTCTCTAACACTCAAAGTTGAAAGAGGGAGAAAAAGGTATAAAACTGATAAGGAGGGTGTATAAAGAAAAAAAAAAAAAACGATGAAAAGGAGAAATAACTACAACATTCTACATGTACACATACATACATGCACACTAGCAGGTGCATGCATATGCCCGTGCACAAACACATACACACATGCATGCACATGCACACACACACAATGAAAGAAAAAGAAAAAACTTAACCTGGTACTAATGAAAAGTGCATAAATTATTTTTTAACTCAAAGTGACCAAAAACAAGAAAATAAACAGTCAGTTGCTGGTATCTCCTGACAAATGGATGGAGTTATTGTTTGAGGGTCTGTCTATGAAACTCTAGACTTAGGATGCTGAAAAGAACATTAATCAGCTAAGTAATAAATTTAATATTTGTACTAATCTTATTAATGTTCTTTCTCTGATATCAAGCACTTTATTGCAAAAGACTGCTTGCCTTAAATGTCTTTTCTTTCATACTTCCACTGACTAACAACATTTCTGACTTCATACTATCTTTGTTATTGCTATATATCAGTAGCATGCAAAAATGGGAGCAGAGGGTGTGATGACCCTTGACATCCATATCAGGAGGATATTCAATCAAAGGGTGAAATAAAAATTTAGTTTATATTTAATTTGAATAAAGTGTTTATTTCATGTTTCATCTGTTTTTACATATTTAAAATGTCTCCCTTTCACAAATTTCTCAGTACTAGGCTCTATAGGACCCCTACTTTAGTCTTAGGGACATACAAGGAGTTGATTCAGAGCATCACCAAACATGTTCAAAAATTGATATGGCAGCTCAATTCCACAATGAAATAAACAAATCGCAAGTCCAAACTTGAAGATCCAGGGGCGGAAATAAATGCTGAAATCATGAATTGCAGGTCAAATGTCAAAAATCTCAAAACATCTAAACAGTCAGAAATCCAATGCACAAGCCAACAGTTAAACACAAGCTGACAAACAAGGTAGCAAAATAAAAATGACTTCCCAATTTGAGAACACTGACTGATTTCAGCGACAAATAATTTTTTCATTGGCTAATGGGTGGAGAGGACAAACAATATTAGCATATCTGAGATGCATTTGCATCAACACCTGTGACTGACTTGTTTCTGTTTTGTCTTTGGTATATTGTACAGAATACATGTACCCTTTTTCTCGATAAGTGACTTTCTCTTTCACCAAACCTCTGCAGGTTATATATATATAAATATATATATATATATATATATATATATATATATATATATATATATATATATATATATATATCATGGCTTGGCTTCACAAAATGAAGAACAAGAGGGAGTCTGTTCATGTCAATTGGCACATTTGTGACTGATAAGTTCAATGCAGGACAGGCATACATGGTTGCAGTACTTGCAGCTGTAAGTCCAGCCTGGGCTCAATGGCATAGTATTGCAGTACTTCCTCTTCTGCCTCTTGTCTCTGAGAGCAGACTTGCTGGTATTTTCAAAGAAGGAAACAGCATGGTTGGTGTTGAGATACCAGGCATCATGTTTCTCAGCTAGAGTTGACCAATGGCAATGGTTGATGTGACAGGCACCAAAGGATTTTTTCAGGCAATCTTTGAATTGCTTCTTTGGTATCACTCTGCCATGATAGCCAGTGGAGAGCTTGCTGTACAATAAAATTTTAAGCAGGCAATGATTCTCCATTCTGGAGACATGGGCTCAATGCTTGTGATCTTTGCCTTTTCAAGGACTTCAGTATTGGAGACAAAGTCACTCCAGTGTATGTTAAGGTTGTGTGGAGGCATTTGAGGAGTTGCACGTGGTGTTGGTAAGTGACTCATGACTCTGAACCGTATAGGAGAGTGATGAGGATGATAGCACTATACACTCTGATCTTAGTGCTCTTCTTTAGGTATCTGTTGTACCACACGCATTTGTACAGTCTGCCAAATGCAATGCTTGCCCTTGCCAGTCTGTTGTTGACCTCCTTGTTAAACCCCGGGTCTGATGTGATGCTACATCTAAGGTAGGAAAAGCAATGGACCGGCTTCAGCTCAATTGCACCAATGATGATGTGGGTAGGGCAGTACTCATCGCAAGGCACAGGCTAGTAGAGTACCTCTGTCTTTGTTAAATTGACTTGAAGCACAAAATGTTTGGCAGCTTATGTGAAGCAGCAAGTGGTGTGCTGTAAAACTCCTTCTGTGTGGGTAATATATATATATATATATATATATATATATATATATATATATATATATATATATATATAATATATAATTTTGTATAATTTTATGTATCAACAAACAATATTTAGAAAATATGACAAACTGGAAAATTTCTTGTGACGCATTTTGCCCGTTAGGATTTCATTGAACTGTGCTTTGTTGATATTGCCCTGTCTACACATGCACATGAAACGAGAGACACAGGTTGTTTCAAAATTTTTTGAAAGAATATTTTTGTTTCAAGCTAGCCAAATTCAAAAAAGAAAAAGAGTACAGATGAATTTGGCTAGATTGAAACAAAAAATATTCTTTCAAAAATTTTGAAACTACCAGCATCTCTCGTTTTGTGCACACGAGTAGATGTGGCAACATCAACAAACCCAGTCTGATGAAATCCTAACAGATGAAATGCATCACAAGAAATTATAATAAATAATTATTTCTACTCTTGGTATCAATCCCTTTTTTGAAATAATGGTGTGAATGTTAGAATATATATATATATATAATGAGCACGTGGCTGAGAGGTTAGAAGGTTTGTTTTCTGACCATGAGACCCCGGTACGAATCTCACCACAGTTGATTTGTCAGGAAAAAGACTTCCTGACATTATCGGTCTGGAGAGGGATAATCCAAGTGTGTGGGAAGTGCCTGAAAACCATACCACAGATTGACCTAAGCCTTGTGAGTGAAATTGGGTAGACGGAACACTTGTGGGCCATTGATAGTTGTGCTAGCACAAAGTCACAAGTCATCGTGACCGAGGGTTTTAGTGTGCTGGCCTTGCTCAGATTGTTGATCATGCTAGATAACACACTCTCTCCCAGAAACTGTAACGAAGCATAGTTGCAGCATAAACCACAAACACAAAATGTGCCTGAGTAAGCATCTGCAATAGGGATTGGCTAACCACCCTAGTAGACGGATATCCTCGAATACAAGTGGCTAGCTATTATATATATATATATATATATATATATATATATATATATATAAAAAGATATTCAAGAGATAAAAAGAAAAACAACAGCAACAACAATAATAATAAGGTCCTTCTGTGAAACAGTCATTGAATTCAGACAAGTACTGCTCCCAACTGAACCAATCAAAGGCAGTAATTGGTGAAAAGTATCCAGAAATAGCCAATCAGAAGAGAGTTGTCTTTCCTCAGATCTCAAATCTCTTTGCCGACTCAGCAGAATTTGACATTGGTTTACTGGAATAATTACCATAATCACCTGGTCTAGAACTTTCATATTAGCACTTATTTCAATTTCTAAAAAGGTGCCAAGTTCTGGGAGAATGGAATCATGAAGCTGACTCAATGATGATGAAAATATGTGGAACAAAATGGCACATATGTAGTTGAATAAATCCATGTACAAATGTCTAAATATTGTCTTTAAATTTCACTTCAAAAATACTATAACCAATAATATTAGTTAATACTAATTTTGTCTACTAGTTAATGCATGAAATTGGAATACACTAACTCTTGTTCTTGATATATAATTGTCCTAACTGAATTGTAAAGTGAAGAATAAAATTAAAAATTGCCATAAAACTATTTTTAAAAGAATCTTTTAAAAGCATTTATTTATTAATAATTCAAAAGTTGAAAACCACTTTAATGTAATGCTACAGATTCTGTGTCATTAAATATGTGTTATTTTGATCATTGAAGTCACTCTTTTTATTACCATCTAGCTAGATACACAGCATAAAGAATTAAGAAATATGGAGTTGTCTCCCTTGAAGAGCTCTTCCTGTGACAGAGGGCAAAAAAAATCCAAGTATTACAAAGCGATTTTATTCCGGTAGCCATTCTCTGATTGTTTGGCTCAAGTGCGGTCGTTATTTTTCTTTACTCCGAATTTGGCCATCATGGTAAGTGTATATGATTGAAATGCATTTTCAATATATCTTGTTTAAAAACATTTGCATTGAGAAAATGTTATTTATTTACTTTTGTAGCCAATCGATTATTTAATGTTTTGTTGAGTTCGACAAAAAATTATAATATCGAAATAATAAAAAAAACCTCATCGCTTTTTAAATCAAAATCGATCATTAAAAAATGTTTATCGTATACTTATAAATAAATAAATTTATTCTTTTGTGAGTGGACATGCAATTTGCAAATGAAAACATTCTGATATTGACTGCTTTTTAAAATTGTCCGCTAATTTCTTGGCTTGCTTCTTACATGCTTTTGTTCCCCCTTTAAAAAATATTTTTGAACATATGAATTTAATTTTTACCGGTTGCTAATATTGCATTACATTAGTTTAACTAAAAAACTCTAAATTTAAATTATTATTGCTGAAAAATCAATTTTTTCATTTGTAATCTTAAATTGCTCATCATACCGATGTAAAAATTAACAAATGAAAGAGTTAAAAATTCTTTCTTTTTTTTTTATTGATGAATATTTTTCTAAGAATCTTTTACTGAAATAATTTCTAGGTGTGCTCTCCCTAATTTAATCCGTTTTAGAACCTTTTTTGTACTCCTTGTTTGAATTTCAGATATATTACCAAATGTAATTTTCAGGCATAAGTTTGTTTTTTACTTTAAAAATGTAATGAAACAAAAATCTATGAATTTAGTTTAATTATTGGCGATGAAAAAGTTGTTTTTTTTGTTGTTTTTTTTTAACCGAAATCACCACCACTAATAACAATAATATTAAAATCAGTTTTTAAAAAGGTTAAAGCGGTTTCTTAACGTTTTTTACACGTTATTTTCCAACTTCTACAATTACTGGCCTGGGATGCCTAATTATCTCATCTTGGATTATTAGTTTTTTTTTTTTTTTTCGAGAATTATACAAAACAAGAATATTTAGCATCTTTACCTTAAGCCCCTTTTCTTTTTCTTTTTTTCATCCGATGCCTTCTAAATTTGCCATGTAAATTACATATGAAACACATTGTCTTGCATGAATGTTTGGTTTAGATTATTTCAGTTAAGTGGACGAAATCAGCTTTTGCCATACATAACCAATAGTTTCTTCAAATTTGGCATTTGAACAACCTTTGAAGCAAAGATTTTGAGAAAGTTCATTGAAGCATTAAAAGGGAAAAATTCCCAAAGAAACTCTTATTAATCCCAGATTTACAATAAACCGGTGAAGAAGGAGGTGGGGGTTCATGCATTTGTACTTGCAGTTGAATCAAGCTCATGCTTCATCCCTGTTTTCGTTTGATTATTAGATTTGTGAACAATGCCATACTGTTTGAAAGTTATTATGGCCATAGGAAATTTACTGAATATCTAAAACATTGAAACAATTTAACCCCAAGCAACAACCACACAAGTAGATTTTATTGATGAAATTCCTTTATTAAGTACAATCAAACACTTGCAAAGGACATGTCATAAAAAAGACAAGGGAGTGGAGTAATTTAGTATACCAATGAATGATGCAGGCAGATGTTTCTAGATGTGGGTGGGGTTGTAGTTATACAATTTCTGCCATGTACACCTGGATAACACTGGGTACCTCAGCTAGTTATATATAAAGGGCGCTCATGTTATATTCAATTATTTTTTATGGCTAAAGCCTTTGTAGAACATTAAATAAGCATCAAGCTGTAAAACATGTCAACAGTTTATTGGAAATATTAAATTTAATCTGTTAACTTGAAATTAAAACTAAAATAAGAGCTTCAAGAAAGATTTTAAATTTTTAAAAATTCATTTTCAACCTTAGATATCACATTTTCTCTGGCAGTACCTAGACTAAGCACTAAAGTCATGGCTATAGCGTTCTCTTATGGTCCCAAGTAATGTGTTGTCATTAACAGAATAAGTTTGTTCTTTTACATTTCCTACTGAACAGTAAAAAATAATTTAAAACAAACACTTCAAGAATTCCAATTAAGACAAATTACAGTCCAAGATGTTTATAATTTATAGGCAATAGGCATCATTATTGTAACACATGGCATAAATACCTATTGATTTCTGTAAAGTATTTCACTGTATTTTGTTTTAGTAAAATATTTTGTTAAATGGCAATCCCCAATTAAAATTCTTTGAATTTATTTATTTAATTTCAGCAATATATGCATTATGAATTTTTTTTTTTTTTTTAATTCATTTTAATTTGCTTCAAAATAAAATAAACAACAAATGTAGTTCTAAAGAAGTAATATAATTTCACACAAGCATTGCTGGAAAAAATACTACAAAAATTATTCTAGTTACTTTTCTAAGGGTTGTATTTTGGGAAGACAAGTCTTATCAAGGCAGTTATTCCTATTTTTACTGAAAAAATTCTCCCCATTGTGTTTTCACAATTTAGTCTGGGTAAAGATACCTTTAAAAAAAATTATATACATCAGTACTTTCATACAACGCAGAAAAATAATTAAAAATACTGTACACCTTATTTTGATATTTTTCAAATGAAGAAAAGTGTAATTTATTTATGAATTTCTATGTCCTTGAATTTGCTGACTTTGTTTTGCCCGAGATTCATTATTGCCTGAGAATTTCAACAAATATTTCTTAACCCAATGATTGTTTCTCCATTAACTGTGATTTTTATTCTTAGACTGTGAGAATTTTCATCAATTTGAATACATTACCTCTACTTTCACATCCAGGAAACTTGAAATACTAAGTTAATGAAGGTTATATTTGCATATATTGCATTGAAATTATTTGTATAGGGATAAGCCCAATTTTTCTTTTAGTGTAACCTTCAAAAAGTATTTTTCTTTAATTATTCCCCAGCCTACAATTAGAATATTTATAGAAGATCTATCAACAACTTTTAAAATATTTTCCATGTTGGTCAATTCTAAGGTGGAATGTTTTTGCTCTTCACACAAGAAGTTTTTAATAACCTGTAACTTTAAGCCAGTCATGAGTTGTGATTTATGAGAAATTATTTCTTGAAATGACTCTACTAAGAAAAGGGTTAATAAATTTGAGATTGATGTGACTTTCAATATTTCACAAAACAACAAGAATGCAAAATCTACACATAAAATAAAAAAGTAGTTGTATGTGTTCTCTTTTATGAAATAAATACTTACTTTTGTTCTTCCTTTTGTTTTAGAATAAAAATTTTTGTATTTACTTTCTTGTCTATTTTAGAGTATTCTTACTTACAATGGTTCTGCCATTATGGCAATGAAAGGTAAGGATTGTGTGGCCATTGCTGCTGATCGTCGTCTTGGAATACAGCAGTCTCTGACAGTGAACACTGATTTTCAGAAGGTTTTTGTAATGGGTCCAAGTCTGTTCATTGGTTTGCCTGGACTTGCTACAGATGTTCAAACAGTGTAAGTATTTTTTCTTCTTTCCAACTGATATTGATTATTTATTAAATTGATTGTAATTAGTGCTAGTTGATTAGAATTATTAAACTTAAAACATTTTGAGATTCATTATAGCAATGATAAATCTGCACATTGTATTAACATTTTAATTAATCCTTAAATTTTTCAAGATGATGATTTTGTATAATTCTGACTGCCATCTGAGGAAGATCATTGGTTAATGATTGAAGAGAGAGATAAAGAAAGCAAACCACACAAACTAGTAAATCACTTAAATGATTTGGATTTTTGTACCTCTTTCAAAAGATGACTTGTCTCTAAAAGAATTTATTTGTCTTTTAAAAAGTTATATTATAGTCCGTAAAACTTCAGGGTCATTGTTTCAAATGATACTAAAAAGACTAAAGGGTTTTCCTCAGGTACAGAAATATTCTTTTCCTTTTAGAATTTTAAATATTTCTATTGCTGTTAAATTCAAAGACATTATTGTGAAGTCTGTTGTTAAATGAACATTGTGATTTCATGACATTTTTCATTTGATAAATTCCTCCAGGAGCCAAAGATTGAAATTCCGTTTAAATCTGTATGAATTGCGGGAAAACAGAAGAATCAAACCGAAAACATTCATGTCTATGGTTTCTAATTTGTTGTATGAAAGGCGGTAAGTATATCTTCTCTTTTAGGTTCCTTATTTTACAGGGCTTCATTTTTAGTACCAAATTTATTTTCACACACACACACACATTTTCTTTGTTTTTCTTTTCCCAAGAAATATTTTAAAACTGATAAGATGGTAACTTAGAGAATTATCTTTGGTATTATTTGAATTATGTCTAACCCAAGATATTATTTTGAAAATACTACATGTGTGAATAGGGTTAAGTTGGTAGATTTACAGTTTTAACAGGTGTAAATTATTTTTCTCTTCTTAAACTCTGTGTGTATTCTTATACAAGTATGTTTCAAGAATGTAAGTTATAACTTGTGCAATAATCAATATATTGTCTTCCATAAACTATTGTATGCCCCAAAATTCTAAACTTTCATCAACTGAATTTGCCAAAAACTTTGTTCAATTTATTAGATAAAATTTATTTAACATTGTTTTGTTTAACTATCTTCAGGCAATTTCATAATTTCATTCCTTCAGGAATTCTCTTTCTCAGCAAATAGCTATTCTCTGTATTTTCTACCATAAAGTAGAATATTTGGTGAATATGACAGGTGACTCTCAGCCTATCTCTATCAATTTTTATCTGATTACCAAAGAAGCATGCAATTTAGCATTATCCTAATGAAATATTGCCTGCCTTATAACCAATTCTAGATGCCTTTTTATCAACTGCTGCTTTCATTTGGTCTAATTGGAAGTTATACTTTTTCAAATCTGTCATGACTCTTTGGAAGGAGTTCATTTAGGTCACAAAACACATGTGGAAATTATGGCCCAATAAATTTCTTCATTTATGCAGAAGTCACACCTTTAAAATGACTCGTAAACAAGTTCAAATTATTTGCAATGCTTAATTTGGACATATTTTAGTAAGTTTACTGCCTACTGCATTTGATAATATTCATTATTCTCAAGTAATGTCTTGATTTGATCAATCATCAACCTCAACTAGTTGACTTTACTATGGAGCATCATTCAAAGTATCTTTGTAAAACACAAATTTCTTTTGCAATTAAATGCATTTTTATCTTTTAAAAGAAGCCATCTATATGTCGAAGATGTTGCTTATTTACTTAAGTCTTTAATGATTTCCAATCGATAAACAAAAATATGCCAATTTTGGCATTTTTTTCATATGCGCATTGATATGGCAACTGTCTAAAGGCAATGAAAAGCATGTGTGTAAAGTTAGTAAAAACTGAACTGAATGTTCTTAATGCCATCTAATGATGAAAACAAGCTTTTTTGCCAAATTAATGACTATTTTTGATGCTCTAGTTGTCATAATATAAGAAGCACCTGGTAAAAGATCAAATTTGTGATCAATAATGATGTTTCACTGTCTTTTCTATGTTTTTCAAAGTAATCTTTCTGATTTGAAGTAACATTTTTCTAAGCACTTATGATTTGCATTTGTTTTTAGTTTTGGTCCTTATTTTGTGGAGCCTGTCATTGCCGGTCTTGATCCAATCACTTATGAGCCATTCATTGCATCTATGGACCTGATTGGTTGTCCAATGGTATCAAATGACTTTGTAGTTAGTGGTACTTGTTCTGAACAAATGTATGGCATGTGTGAATCACTTTGGGAACCAAACTTGGTGAGTTGACCTATTTATTTCATGACAATATTTTAATTGCTAAAAACTTGACATTTTTAATCTGATGAAAGAAAACAAACCATCTTTTCCTACATTACTTCCTTAAACTAATCTGGTATTGTTTCTATGTAATTTCTTGTCTGATTGATCACTGATAGGCTGTTTACTCAAATTTATTAGAACATTTAATTGGATAACTGTCCTTAAAAACTATTGACCAGAATTTGCACATAGTTTCACGATGCATGCAATAAGATTAAATACTTATTTTTAGAAAGGTCTTGTAGAAATATTTATCTGTGTACATTTTTCCTTTAAGCACCTTTTGTGTTAAACAAAGAATTTCACTTTGAAAATTTCTAATGAAAAAAAATAAAACATTGTGTATATGTATAACTGCTGACCTGTATAGTTTTTTCTTATTTTAGGAACCTGAAGACTTGTTTGAGACCATTTCCCAAGCTTTGTTGAATGCTGTCGATAGAGATGCACTATCAGGTTGGGGTGCTGTAGTATATATTGTGTAAGTATTTATTTTTTATATTCACATCACTTTTATAAAGATAACATCAATTTTAAATTCTAGAAACTGCATGATACTATTAAGTTTCTAATGATTTTATTACTGCTTTCAATGCATTTTTTTTTTTTTTTTTTTCACTTCTGGTTTGCATTTTAAAGTAATAAAAAACAATGAAGAAACTGTAGTATCAGGACAAAGTTGTCATAGTGTAACCATAATTATTTGTATTATTTGTGTCTCTGAATTAAGTGATAATGTGATGTTGAAAGCTAGTGGCACACAACCATTTCTTGATTGTTTTGCTTTTATGTGTGACATTTTCCTAGATTTTAAATTGTCTGATGCTTTTAATTATCAAAAATTTTTTTTTTTTTTTTTTTTTTTTGATGGCTATCAAATATGAAATAGTATCTTTTGGCATTTCCTATTGAACCTAAACTACAACTATTCCATTGTTTTTAAGGATGTCTATATTTTTACTAATTCTACTATTTAGTCATTGGGAATTCATTATCGTAGACTTCTTGCTAGTTTATATATACTATTTTTATATACCTGAATTCTGTTCTTTTTAATCTTTGTTTTGTTTTTTGTTTTTGTTTTTTTTTTTCAGTGAAAAAGACAAAGTTACAAAAAGAACGCTGAAGGCCAGAATGGACTAAAGTTGAACAAAATTAGTTTGTTTTTCTCTTTTGCACTTCAGCATATCATTTTTGATAACTTTTTTTTTTCTGACATTGAATACACATTAATATATTGCAGAATAAACCAAATGACCATTCAAGTGTTTTACCAATTTGTCTTTTATTCTGCAGTGATCATCTCATTTTGTGTGATCTTCTGCTACAAACTTTAGACTGCACACCATCAACATATTTTTTTTTCCTAATCTTTGTAGAAACTTAAAATCTTGGAATGTTTCTGCTGTCCATTATGATCATGTTTCATTTTTCAAAATTTTGCAAATTTTGATTAAAGTAAATAATCTAATACATAGAGATTAATTCTCCTCCCTCTCTCTCTATATTTCTGCTTGAGTGTCTGTTATGTTCTGGAATGTTGTTGAATCTTATTCTGAAGGTGCAGATGTATCTATGTTCTTGGTACCCTCTTCTGATTTTGCATTGAACTTAAATACACACACACACACACACACGCACTTCAAGGCCATGCATGTTGAATCTCAACTTCATTACCTTCTCTCTCCTAATTAATGATGCACAAACACTAATACTTTCTTTGCTTATTGAGTCATCTAAGCAAAGTATGTAGGCAGATTCCATAGTGTTTGCCATTTTTGACCTCAGATTATAAAAGTTGGTATGTCCTTGCTATGCATGGTCAACACATGTTAGAACTTTTCAGGCTTCCTCAAGCCTTATTTTATAATGGGACTGCTTTCACCCCTATAAAATAAATTAAGACTTGATGAAAAAGCTGTGACATGTGAAGACATTAAAATCTGGTATGACTGACCATGCATAGATAGGGACACAGAGCAACGTTTGTGGAATGAGATAGAAATAATAAAACAGTGGCAAATAAGAAGACTGAAGGAATCTGTTCACTGTTGTATTGTGTAGGAATGGCTCAAGATGGGGGGGGGCAAAGAGCTCAACAGGGGGGTTGGGGAAGATAATATTGGGAGCACAAAGACAAAGTAAAAAAAAAAATTGTATCCAAAGCATTGTGAGAAAGAACAGAACAAATGAATAAATTTATCTAAAGAAAACTATCCAATGATTCCAAATAACTAAATTCAGATACTAAACTGATAAATTACAAAAATAAGACTGTAAAATACTTGTTTTAAGAAAAAGGAAAAAATTAATTGTGCACTTAGGACAAAATAAAATGTATTTTCAGGATTATATTTAACCCTTTAGCATTCAACCTGCTCAAACTTGCCCTGTAAATATAAGCTCTCAATGTTCAACACAGCTGTTTAAAACCCTTGTTTTTGTCATATAGGAAAATCCAACATGGCGTAAAGCGAAATATCACGGCAAAAAAAAATCTCATTCGTCAGTAACATTTTAAACACCTCATAGAATGTAAAGTTCTTAAAGAAAACCTATGTCAAAGTGTTTTCCTGAATCCTTGATGACTTGGCTGTCCGAAAATGATAATATCAAGATGAAATAATGGAAACTGACCGTGAAAAATACAATTATGCACAGGTTTTCGATCAATTAGTAAACTTCTGGACCTTTTAGGGCGACCTTATAGGATCCAGACGGCTATTTTTGCACATGGAATTATTCACTGGTAATTAATCTTCGATTTGGCTGTGGAAAATGTCACTCGGCGGTTAGCATTAAGAAATTATGCACAATTTCTCTGAGAAAAATCCCTTTTTTTTTGAAAAAAATATTCATTTTCGCTTCAAAATAACATCATTCAAAAATTCATTCCTTTCTCTTTCATTTGGCATGAACATCATTGAATAAAAAAAAGGCTAAATGGACCGGCGATGGGAAATACAAAAAGATATCGGCGAAAAAAAAACAATGTTCTCTGCTAAGTGTTGTTGTCATCACCGGGTCACGGGGTGTTAAAAAAAAACAAAACTTATCAAGCCATTGTTCAAACATAGGTTATATGAAGCCCTAGTAATTGTGAACCCTTTTTTTATTCACCCTTTTTTTTTTTTTCTGGGAGTGGTGGGTTTTATTACAACTTGTTCTAAGGTTTGCCGTCCGTTTATTGCTAGCTGGCTGGCTGGCTGGCTGGCTGGCCTTTTACCTGAGACGTCAAAGTCAATTAAGTTTATTTTCCCTTATCACTATTTTTTTGGAAAAAAAAAAAAAACTTTTGGTTTCTGGTGGTTAGGAATTGCAGATAAATCTCTTGCCTTTTACTAAAGATTTCCATGGCCAGGTGTCAATTTTTTTAACCCTTGGCAGTCATAATTGAAAATTAACAATGGATTTTGTCGCATTTTTGAACCCCTAGGAATGTTGATTTCCTTCAAAACTCTCAATTTTATGCCTGAAATAGTTTGATTATGATCTAGGCTTTCTGATTTTCAAAAAAAAAAAAAAAATGGTTAATTTCCATTAATGGGGGAAATATTTGTTTAGAACAAGAAAAAAAATGCAAAATTTTCACTATTTTTTTCACATTTTACCCACTGAAAAAAATTTTTGAGTCATTTACGCCAGCTAATTTTACTTTTAAATGAAAGAATATATCCTTTGCTTTCAGAAAATACCTAGTTTCATGGGGTTCAGATCAAAAGTTTCCTTGATATTCGTTTAGGTGATGATAAAACAGTCATTTTCAATATTTTACCCTAAAAAAAGTATGAAAACCCATATTTTGAGAGAAAATAAGCTGTGACAAAATGACTTTTGCTATTTTTGTGATGATTTTCACTTGGGAAAGAAAATTTTTACCATAGGAAACCTGAATTGACTTTATTTAAGTTCAGTGGGTCTGTAGGAAACCTCAAACAGCTGTGTCAACTCACCATAACCCAATCCATATGTACTTTGCCATAATACAGGGGGCAGCAGAAGCTAGATGAAGACCCCATTGCCACTAATGTCTTACCTTTATCTGAGTGGTATTTCTACCACACCTATTATATGACTACATCATCACAAATAACACAGGAAGCCACATAAACAGTGAAACTTTGTGTGCCAATATTTACAGGGCAGTTCTAAACATATTTAATGCTAAAGGGTTAAACCAAAGTAATCTGGTAACTTGTACTGAGTCCAACTCATCACTTTGAAGGTTTAACTAATACTCATCTCCTCTCTCATCCTATTAAACTAATGAAATTCCAACGTCAGCACTTTCACGTCTTTCTTATATTGGTTATGTCCCTTGAATAATTAACCACCTAAAATGATTTGGTGCCTAAAGCTAATATGGATTCTCCATTTGATTTGCTATTTGTTAGCTTGTAATTTTGCTTATTTTATCTAAATTTTCTTTTGTTTCTGTTTAAAAAAAAAAAAAAAAAGACATTGTCATTAAGATCGGAGATTAAGATACAAAGAAAAATATCAAAGAAACTTTTAGTTTAAAATTTCTTTTTAAATTGAACTAATTCATTATTTCATTTACTCCATCATCCTAACAGTACATATTTAGTTTCCCCACTTATCAATTCAAATATAATTTGATTGAATTCAAAATCATTCATCACATATGAACCAACTTTATCAATTTATGTGGAATAAACCTTTAGCTCACTGTGTGAAGCAGTATCAGTCAATACTCTCATTTCAAGACAAAGAAAGTAAGAATAAAGTTCAAAAGACTAGTTATTCTTGGTAGTAAAACTATAAAACATGTAGACAGTCAGGTTTAGTATAAGATTATGGAACAACAACAATTGTATGAGTCTACTAAATACAGCTTTGACTGCAACATTTTTCCAATTTTGCTAAGTTTGATAGAAGTTCATGAATTTTGAATGAGAATCATGTCCATCATTTCGGTAAAATAGTAATTCTTACACTTGCTATTTGCTTTGTTATTCGTTATCTAATGTGGATTAATTTAAATGTAATTTGCTAAGTAACACACTTATAAAACATTTTTTTCTTTTCATGTTTACATATACCAATGCAAACTGATTTTGTTTTCAAGTGCAACATGATTTGGCATCATCAAAAAAGGCTATTAAATTATTTTTTTTTATTATTCATTTGTGTAGGCAGTAATAACAGAAGCAGTGCCAGAGATAGTTGTATACTTGAGTTTAATGCTGATTTTTAAGGCAGCAATGCTTTTAGTCGCCATTTGACCTTGTACTGTACTAAGCTGTGTTTGATAAATGTCAATGACATGAAAGCTTTCGTATCAAGAATAAGTTACTTATTTCAATTTTATTATTACCAGGTGAATAGTTGAAAAAATCATTTACCTGAAAAAGTTGTCAATATAGGGAATATTAATAACAGAATTATTGTTTAACAAAGAAAAAAAAATGCATATTTAAGAACTTGAGTATGTGGAACTTTAACACGTAAATTTTTTGTTTTGTTTTTTAACATTCAGCAGTGGGCATCACTAAGAAGTGAACCTAAAACCTTGTCTGATATTCTAACCACTTCTTGTGATGTTATAGGGATAGGTAATCACTATGCTTCCCAAATAGGGCCCTTTGGCAATGTTAAACTTTGTCCAATATATCTGAATACCACTAACTATTGATTGCAATTGTTTGAATATCAGGGAATTCAGTTTATTCTTCTTGCTTATTGTAAGAATTCTGTTATCTCAGTCCTGTGAGAAATACAAAATGAATAATAATGCAAAATTGGATTTTTTTTTTTTTTTTTTTTTTTTCTTCTTTTTTTTTTTTTATATAGGAAATAGTCTTTTGCTTGGAATATTATTCAACTGTTCAGAAAAATAATATTGCATTTCCAAAAATGCAAATTTGGAATAATTGCTTTGCAAACAAGTTAAAGAGGATTTCATATTAGTTTAACATATGTTCTGTCATTTTAATACAATGACAGACAAGAAATTTTAATGAAAGTTAATATGCTGTATGAATTTCAAAAAGGTCAGACAACCCAGACAATAAATAATATTTGTGTTATGTATTCCAATCCAGTGACTATTTGTAAATGCCTGTGATTATTTAGCAAGTTTTACAAAAAATATCCACGATTTTTCTCCTAAGCATCACTTT